TGGTAGTGGATGTTTTGTGGTGTTTTGGCGGTTGGGGGGTGGTAGTGGATGTTTTGTGGTGTTTTGGCGGTTGGGGGGTGGTAGTGGATGTTTTGTGGTGTTTTGGCGGTTGGGGGGTGGTAGCGGATGTTTTGTGGTGTTTTGGCGGTTGGGGGGTGGTAGTGGATGTTTTGTGGTGTTTTGGCGGTTGGGGGGTTGGTGTATAGGACATAGAGTCGTGTTTACCTACAACAAACAAAAAAGAGAAGGAACATTTACAGGATAGAAAAGGAGAACTGCAAAGTGGGAAATTGTTATCAACTTTTGTTTATTTCCTCCTCTTCCTCCTCCTCCTCCTCCTCCTCCTCCTCCTCCTCCTCCTCCTCCTCCTCCTCCTCCTCCTCCTCCTCCTCCTTGTCATCATCATTAACTTTATCATCACCAACAGCTGCATCACGCCCATTAAGAGAAAGGGTCCTTTAAATAAATATTAAAACGTCAGCTTAAGAATCAGCAACGTTTGGCCCAGAACGCTTCTATATAAATCATACTGTTCTGTTATATTCATACACACATCTGTTTTATATAAGACATCTTCGTTATACATTATTGGGCACTCTCATACGCACATTTTTCTACTAATCAGATGGCGTCAATATCATAGAAATGGGCAAGGGACAAAAAAAAAAAAAAGAAAAAAAAGACATCTTATTCTCTATAATCATACATATCTGTTTCATATAAAACATGTTATTCTATTATAATCATACATAATATATCTGTTTCATATAAAACATGTTATTCTATTATAATCTATTATAATCTTTGTCTATATCCTCCTCCTCCTCCTCCTCCTCCTCCTCCTCCTCCTCCTCCTCTTCCTCCTCCTCCTCCTCCTCCTCCTCCTCTGTTTTTCAAGCTAATGTCAGACGCACAAAGAAAGCTACTGTCAGCATTTGGGGTGTAAAAAATCGTCTCCTATCTGTACATGCAAAGGTCGTGGGTTCTTCTCCCATGAGTGATGTTACCGTACAATAATAATAGATAGCATTTGTATAGCGCAAATCCCCGCTCAACAACAAGCTCTATGCGCTTCACAATCTATACTATTACCCCAGCAGACCTGAGAGCATTCTGAAACAAAACTCAAACTATTTTCTTTTTGTTTTTGTTTTTAAGCGAAGGATATTTACTGCTATAACTTCTAAATGTTCCAAGTTTTGAATGACCTACATTGTGTATACTTGGACGGAAATGTCAAAACAAAAATCATCAAACGAAACAAATCGCAGTCCTTCCCGATGGGGAGTTTAAAAAGTTGAAGATCTGTCGCAAGTAACTGACTGTGTTGAAAAACAGAACTCCTTACAACCGAACTTAAACCTAAAGCAAAACAAAACTAACGCTTCACTAATCAAAACAAAACAACAAAACCAAAATACAAAACAAACAAATCCAAAAACAAAACAGACCTTTACAGTCACCGTTCGTTATGCCTACGTCATCGATGGCAATGTCTCCTTTACTTCCGGTCCCCACGACTCCAGTAATGACTACCTGTGACGTAATTGTGACAGACATTGTTGGACTGACGTCACAGATAGATGGAAAAGTAGAGCCTAAATTGTTGGACTGACGTCATAGATAGATAGACAAGTACAGACTTAATTGTTGGACTGACGTCACAGACAGGTAGACAAATACAGACTAAATTGTTTGTTCGCCAGAAGCAGCAGCAGCGACTGCCTGTGTGTACAAAGAAAGAACAGAACGCACCGACATACTTGTTTGATAACTGTCAGATCTAACACAGACATCTTTGATAAGGGTTTGTCATTCGTCTCTCTTCTCTGAGAAATATTGCATAGTATTACGTATTTGATCATGTATTATTTTCCTGATTAAAAAAAAAACATATAATGAAGGGCTGGGAACTGCTAGAATTGAAGATATCAACACGAGCATGCAAAGGAGAAGATGGAGAGTTTTAAGACATGATTTAAAAATGCCAGAGACAAGATTGCACAATATCAGACAACATGGTACTGGAGACCAACTGGAAAAAGAAGAAGAGGCAGACCAACTGGCAGCTATAGGGGTACGATCACGGACGAGACAATCACCCAGGGCCGGGATGTGCTGACGCTAGAGGAAGTGGTCAGGGAGAGACAAGTGTGGCGTCGACTGCTCTCTGCCTTGTGTAGCTGACGAAACAGGTAAGTCAATTTAATAAGTGAGCATTATTTCCCAGGTCTTTTCCCTTCACTGATCTGTTCAGGTGTTCTAAATAGGTTATCTCCCGGTTTGCCTCTCGTTCTTTTGCCGTCTATTTTCCCCACAAGAGCACTGGGATCCTCTAATGAGTAAACCTCTCCCAGTGTGTACATAAAGTGTACACGTGAACGTACCTTGATGTTGATGGAACCGTCAAATCCATTAGTTATTGTTACACTTCTGTATAGCCAGCGATTCTCTTGTTGGCCCTTGAGGGTGAAGAGATTGGTTCTAAAAATAGACAGAAGAGAAAACGTAGATGAGACCAGACAGAATCTAGTATGTGCTGAGTATAATAGATAGGAGACAGACATTAAAAGAAGTTGTCATTAAATGTTAATCATTTCTGAAATCCGTATGGAACACTTTGAGAACACACTTTAACTGAATTCGATTCATGGTCTTCATTTATTCGGACGACTTCCCTAATACAGATTTGTAGATAAGGACAAATCAGTATGTGTTTAAAAGTCTCTTTCCCTTCGTAACTTACATGGCCTCATTTATCATAATGTATATAGACCAAGACAACATTCTTCATTTGGATCTTAATATAACATTTTCAAGTCAATGTTTCGTGGAAGAAGAATGTTGTCCCTCTTTCGCTCTACTGGACCTTCAATTGCTGCAGATTCGCAGCAAGGCGTCTTGCACTCACTTTGGGGTTCAGGTCACCCCAGATGTGTGCAGTGTGAGATATGTCCAGTACGTACACTGGCCAGTTCTGACATTGACCTTAGACCTCCCAGAGACTGTGTTGTTTGTTACAGTGGCAGTGTGAGGACGGGCATTATTGTGTGAGTCAGTAACTAATAAAAATAATAATTGCATTTAAAGGGCGCATATCCATGCTCTGCAGCACGCTCTATGAGCTTTATAACTATTATTACCCCAACAAACCCTCTGAGAACACTCAGAAAACTTATTGGCTTTTCGGGAAGCATACAGTGCGAGCTACGGATTTCGCGCGCTCAAACACTATCAAACTGACAAGATCTTTCACTGTCTATAGCCCGGTACCATTTCCACCAAGGTGAAGTGAGGAAAATTCGTGCAAAGTGCCATTCCCAAGGTTACAACGTCGGGCCCCTGACGGGATTCGAAATCACAACCTTACGGTTGCGAGTCCAAGAGCCTGACCACTAGGGAACCGTGTGTTGTTTTGTTACAGTTACAAGGGCATGTGAAGGCGGGCGTTGTTGTGTTGGAAGACCGAGAGGTTCTGATGCGACGGAAAGGTTTTGCCCTGGGAAGACGGCTCTGTCATGTTGTCGCGGATTCGTTACTGGCAGTCCTAAACGACACCTTCTTGGCGTAAGTCCTGTACTTACAAGTCGGCACCTCACACTGGCGGAAGAAACATTTTCATGCTCTCCTTGCATGCCTTGAGCTGTTACTTTTGCAGGCAGAAAATGATTCTATAGATGTGACAGCAAAAGGGGTGGTAACTCGATGGTTCTAAAACAATTCTTGTCTACCGCCTATATTTCAAGTTTGCTAAAATATTTGTGTAAGTAGAGAAACATTAGAGGCACTGCATTTTAGCCGTCTTGCTGCTTGTATGACAGTTTTCGCATTGAACTAGGCTCAGCAATAAATTACTGTCTTCTCTGCTAAGGTGAGGCATTTCATTGTAATGAAAGAGAATTAAAACTGATCGCATAAAAGCCTGGACTTTTGTTTTGAAAGACCCACGCGTCATCTTCCCGGTATTTTTTGTCATTAGTAATACATGTATTGCGTCTAATGAACATATTTCGCTAAAGTATAGTTTGCTGTATTGTGATGAAAAGTACTCTTGGAAACAACAAAACTCGTACATGGGTGTGTGAACTAGCAACACATCCCCTGTGTATCCAAAGATGGTGGTGATCAGAGCATATCTGGCTTTCTCATAGCCTTTTTAAACGTAGCGTTTTTATTGGTGCTTGATATCGATAAAAAAGAACATAACATGGACATTCAGTGACAGCTCTAAATTTCAATGTTTATACCAATATTATGTTACCAATGCCCAACCTGGATATTCAACAAAACCAATGGAAGCAAAATTTTTGCGTGCGAGATGAACAAATTATGTATCCGAAAACCCTAAACATCACAAGAAGAAGAGACAGAGAGAGAAATGAAGACGAAAATGAAGCAACTGTTGGCACGGACATTTCACACACAAACGAAGGCTAAAATGGTTCAGCCACCTGTTAGGAATGTCACCTAGTCAGCCAGCCTCGAGAGCCTATTACACCAAGTACTCAGGCTACAAAGGAAGAGGTAGACCACGCAAAAGATAGATCTAGGGAGTTAAAGTAACCTTGAAAAACTGCAATATCTCAATAGAAAGAGCTGAAGAGTTGGCCTACCATAGAAAACTGTATCTCCCTTTGGCCTTCAACGGCGACAGAGGCGGTACAAGTAAAAGTACGTAAAAAAAAACTAACAAGAGATATCTCTGTACTAATACTCTGACGGTTTTCCTTACGTGTTCTGGCTGTACCCGACGTGTTGGAAACCGACCTCGAGCCTGCCCATGTCAGTGCCGTACATGTAGTAGTAAAGTTTCACACAAACTTTGTCTTTCTCTTTTATTGTGTACGCGGGTGACGTCATCACGGCTTGTGTACCTTGGCGGTGATGGCCGGCAGACATGAGGGCGTAGTATCTTTCGTCTGCCTCTGATGGGGGGGGGGGGGGGGGGGTTCATGAAGGAGGAAATGTGGTAAAAGTAAAGTTAAGCCTCTGTAAAAGGA